TTAGAAAGGAAAAAGTTGAGCGTTTAGAGTATAAATGTATTGTCTAAATATGCTAGTAAACGACTTCAGGAACCCTGGCTAAATTTTCGGTCAGTCATCTTCTCGGATTCATGTAGCATGTGATTGTACCATGTATATAGGACTTCTAGTCAATTGTTTGCACCACGCAGTTTCGCTAATGAAACCCTAAATTGTAAAACTTTTTAGTTAATCTGTGAATATTAAAAATATATTTTAAAGGTATAATAATGGTTATATTTAATTATTTGAAACAATAAATTGCGTTAAAATCATATATATAGTGAGTAATTACCTTTTAATAGCGGTCGGTGAAAGCTGCTCTACGATTGGCAAAACCTATATTTTATATATATATATATATATATATGGCGGTAGTTATTCAAGGAGATCTTATTTTTTGAAAACTAACGAGTAGTGTTACTAATATATTCGGTATTAACAAGTATAACTTCTCATTATTTGATAAAGATTCTTCTATTTAGTGAAAGAATAACTTAGGTATACGTCTGAAATGTAGATTATAACATTAGAACATAATGTGTGGTGTGTACTTGAGTTGTCAGGTTCAATAGTTAATTTTGAGTTTCAAACTAACAAGCAAGTCACATCTTTGTGCAATGTTTTTCCAGATCTCTTCATTTCCACCATCTCTACAATGGGAAGTTGAATGTTGAGATTATTGAAAAAACTTCATGAACTGATATTCAAATAATTGTAGTAATTTCATCTTTAATTTATAGTGACATTTTTCTATTATATTGAGTTTTTCTTATCCAGTACTGAGTAACATAGACTATGTGTTTGCATTTGTTGGAAAAAGGTCAATATCTTCATATATTCTCTTGTTTCAACATCGCTTGATTACTAGTTGTTGGAATCGATAATTTTGAAAAGAAGGGTTTCATTGATTTGTATCATATGCATAGATTTAATTACAACAAATTAAAGGGAATGAAGTGTGATGTAATTGGTTTAAGATCATAAAGATCATCAAACATCAAGTCAAGTTCAAGACATTTCTTTCGTGTTAGTTTTTGCAAACATTTCTCTCAGCTATTTTTTGCATAAGTTCATAAATGGGTCAACTTTAAATGACCATCTCTCAGGTTATGAAAATTTAAAGGTCTACAGATTTATTTCCAATGCTACCAAGTGTACTTCAATCAAAATTGGGAGTAAAAAGTAATAGATGATTTACCAGCGATACTTCAACCTAGTTGATATGTTCGCTAATATGATCACGACATAGAGAGTAAGTAGATCTCACTTAGAAGGACTCAAGTGGGGTTAGGATTTTAAATCACTTAAAATAGAATGTTCCACTTGACAGGGGATCAAGTTGGGCTAAGTTAAGATGATCAAAATGGACACTCATGTTGTTAGACTTGTAGCTAATCTATTATGATAATAAGAAATAGGGGTCAAACTAATATTCCGTCAACTTTGACTCTCACAAAGATAGAAATGTTATATAAATGAATCAACAAGTTATATCTTACATTTGTTGAGAATTGTACCAATTGAATAACTAAAAGATTAGAGGGAAAAATATACATTGTGTGAATTGTTTATATGTCAAAGATAAGATATGTTATATCATACAATAAAAAATCAAGGTGTAAGAATATTCACTGCCCTCATTTGGTTGAAATCTCTTCCAATCCATCATCCTATTCTCCGTTCTCTTAGGTTAAAATTAATATGTAAACCACCCAACATAAAGAATATCCACAATATAAAAGGTGAAAATCCAAACCTTTATAATGCAAAGAATATATCCAAAGTCCAATCACATAGTCCATTGAACAGTGAATCACATAGTTCATTTAGCATCGAATAGAATCCCAGGGAATAGTAATTAGTATGATGGAAAGAAAAAGAACACCCGAAGAACCAATGTCAATCAGACATGAGATTATGGAAAGTGGACTAGTTGATTCCTTTGATCTGTGTTTGCATATTGGAACGTAATACTAAATGTAAGTGAAATTTAGTGATTCATGTCTCCTACCTTTAGTTTATGACATATCATCGAAATAAATGTAAAGTCGTAAATTTCATAAACATGATAAACAATGTAATTGTAAAATCATAAATTTCATAAACATGATATGCAATATAAGTAGATTAAGAACTTTTGAAATATATAAATTGACCATAAAAGGGGAAAAATTCAATATGTTGTAGGAATGACATGCTACATCCAATGATTGACAGGCGTACAATTGCCACAATATTATTTGGGAAGCAAGCCACAAAAGTTCTTCCACCTAGGGGAAGTACATATACCCGATAATAAGTAGCAATTTCATTCCTAAGATTGAATAATTGCAAAGGCGGGAGATGGATGTTGAGATAAGTGAAAGTTCTTTGTCGTGGCCTTCACAAATCTTTAGTAAATTTGTTCTAAGAATGTGATCAAGAAACCATACATGGTGGTGGTACCACCTATAATTTTAAAAATCATAAACATTTCGTATAAAAATCGAATGTGCGAGTCATACAAGATAGCAGAAAGCACTAATCTTGAAACTCTCTACTTTTTTCTATTAAGACGAATTGTAAAAAAAAAAATTGATTGACCAGGAAATTTGAAGTGTGGGTAGCAAAATTTGACTAGCTTAGTTCTACTTGAACATTGTGTTTTGCTATGTGATTCTTGTATCAAATATGCAAGTTTTTCTTTCTAAATGTTTTGATTGTCTACTTTTCACTAAAAGAAGATGAAACTTGAAAATCTTATTTCTTTCATCTCAAGTTTCAGCTTTGGAGATGCATATATTTTTTGGTGTTATACTAAAGTAGGAAACAAGATTTATTACAACTAACCACTCCTTATACCTTTAATCTTCTGTCGACTATAATGTTTTGTTAAGAATAAACAGCATGACAACTGAAGAGGCTAGTTATTACCTATTAAATGATAAAGTTGAAGTGTATATATTAGAGACGACAGATAGGCAATCCAAGTTTACAAAAGCTCAAAATTTTATTTGTAGCGTGACATAGAGTTTATTTTTATTCAACATATATTTTGAACCATTTATGATTCTCGAATGATCTGAATCGTTTCATGAGAATAATATATCAAAATATACAAAAAATCGAGAGGATTTCATATCTAAATTTGGGACTGCTTAGAGATGACTTCGAGTTGATCGAGATTGAATAGTCAATGTATAATTTATGTATAGTTCAGGTGGACTTCATATATAGTTAAGTTGTATTCAATTTTTGAATGTATCATAATATATAATAAATGTATAGGTACACTATATTGTATTGTCAATATATACATTCTATGATTTTTGACAAGTTATACAGTATAGTCGGACTTTTGGCTACTTCTTATGTAAATAAAACATAGCTATATTTATTGCAAACTAATTACTTTATTGTATATATTTGAAACTAGTCCTTTAAATATAAGTTGGTCAGATTAGGTGTATACATATGTTAATTATTCTTGAAAATGGCAAACACTCTAAATTAAAGATCATGCCTTAAAAGGAACGTTTAAAAGGGAATCTCATCATCCCCTAACACCTTGTTTGAATAGTTGTTATTCATCGTATTATATTGTATTGTTAGTTTAAAATAATGTTTGTTTTGGTTGTTAGTTGAATTTTGTTGTATCGTTTCATTTAAACTCATTGATAGGTAATAACGAAAAGACCCATTTTATGTAACCTTGACTTGGTGTAATCGTGTTGTTACGTTAATATGTTTCTTCTTATTTGTCTTTGTTTATTATTTAATAACTATATTTATCTTTTACCCTACATTTTCATAGCAGCTCTATCTCTTACCAAACTTTTCTCATAGGTTTATCATTCAAATTATAGAGGTGTGACAATATGTAACGACGGAGAACGCTACAATGTATCCAAACACTCTATTCATTAAAACAACACAGCACGATACACAGATAACAACCAAAACAAAGTTTTGTGCATCCACATGAATCTCCAAAATTGGTGAAATTAACAACCCTTTCTTGATTTGTGAGTGGAACAATCATATAAATTAGTTAGTCCTAATACATGTTATCTAATTTTTTGCACAAGAATCGTAAAACATCTTGGTGCCTTGCTTCTATCACGGTTTCAACTGAAAATTATAATGATGAATTTGGTGTGATTTTGTTTAGTATAGTGGGTCGTGTTTGGATTAAAAAAAGAGAATCAGGTAATTCCAATTGAAAATAATAACGATGAGTTTGGTATGATTTTGTTTTGTATAGTGGGTTGTGTTTGGGTTAAAAAAGAGGATCGGATAATTTTAATTGAAATTGAATATATGTGCAAATTTAGGTTTTTCCGTCATAGAGGTACAGGTGTTGAGTTGGCAAACAAGGGATGTACCATATGGTATGACAGATGATAAAATTATTTATTAAATAGATATTGAGGGTAATTTTGTCTCTGCACTTGACAAATGCTTAATGCAATTATCGACATTTTACGCATGTTGAATTTCACTTATTTGACATAAAATCTTTTATTGACGTAGAACCAAATTATAAGAATAAAAATATAGGTAAAACACCATCAAAGCTTAGACATTATAATTCCAAACACGTTGATAAGTTTTTGTGAAATTTCAAAAAATACCTTCAGCATAAAGCAAATACATTAACAAAAGAGTTGTTACTTGAATCTTAGCCTCTTATTAATATACCAAATGAATCCTGGTTCAGTTTTCAGGAGAATTACTTAGTTACGAAGAAAAAACTAACGCAATCATACTCATCACTTAAATAATTTATCAATTGAGACAGTACAGTTTACATGTATTACTAATGAATGTTTTTCAACTCACAAACATATAGAGAAGGTAGTCTAAAAATTTCTGTCCAAAAAAAGTAATAGAAATTGACCCCGAAGGTTGCGCGAAAGTAGAAAGGAAAAGTTGAGCCTTAATAGCGAGACATGACAAAATTTAGAGTATAACTTTATTGTCTCTGCGTTGATATTTCGCTAGCAGACGATTTCAAGAACCTGACTAAATTTCCAGTCATTCATCTTCTGAGATTCATACAACATGTGATTGATAAGACCCCTCGAGGCACTGTAATACCATTGGAAAACAAAGGAATACATCCAATCAGAAGGTGGTTCAAGATGGGAACTGGCTCCAAGTTATATAATGGTTTGAAAATTCCCACCCGTTTGGAAGGACATTCATTTTATTGAAAAGAATAAAAGCAAAAACAAAAATACGGAATGAACTTACTCATCCTTCAATTTCTGAATTTTATCTGGATCAGTCTCATGCATATGCTTTTTGAACTGTTGTATCACCATACCAACAAGAAGCTGTGTGTTATGTTGCTGCATTTTATCTGGATCACTTCTCAATCTTTATTGCTGATGTAAGTAAAACTGAGCAATATATTAAAGGACTTAAATACCATGCAGTTCACTCGAGGGTGTGAGGAAGGGAAATGTGTCATGGATTTGATTGATAACTTAAGATGGAAGTGAAGAAATTAATACCTAACAAAATCTCTACCTGAGATAACATAAATAGATTGTGCTTAGTATCAACCACCGTAATCCTGTATTTGAATTTTAAGGACCATATGAAAGGATAATCAAACCTAAGTTAATCGTGGGAAAAAGAAGACTGAAAATCTTTATCGACAACAACCAACACAACTGATATATAATTCTAGAGAGCCATCATTATTATGGGCAAAGTTACAAATTTACAATTGTATAATCATTTTGACCATTAATTATACAACGAAGAAGGGTCTAAAATACCGTTATAGTGTCAGAATAGGTACAAAAATACCTCTCGTTTATCTTTTGCCTCAAAATACCCTTGGTGTTAACCTTTAGGGACCTATTTTTCCCTTTTGACTAACGATCTACTTAGTCAATATATTTAATTATTTTATTTATTACGTGATATGTTGTAATTGGTTAAAATTTAATTAATTAAAGCCTAATTTGTCTGACCCAAATCACCCTATCCACCCGACCCATCATTCAAATTATCCAATTCATCCAAATAAAACACCCATTACCCAGGAGGATTGGCTTGAAAGGAGATGTTAATGGTGTGATTATTCCAACTAATCTGCCATACTCACCAAGAAAATTGGCATGGAAAGGAAAAAGAAGTTATGACTTCAAATCAGTTGACAGTTGAAAAGGAGACAAGAATTGGTAAATTGAAGGCAAAAAAATGAAAACATGCTGACTTCAGAGTAATTGACAGTTGAAAAGAAGAAAAGAATTGACAAATTGAAGGCAAAGAGGGGCGGGAAGAAGTAGTTGCATTATGAAGTTTTTTGTTCTTCAGTGTTATGTAATGGCATGAGGAAACTTAATATCTTTACTTTTTTTTATGTTACTCGGTCTTGAACAAGTATCTGTAAATTTTTATGGGTTCAAAATAGATGTTAATGTCATTACTAGTTGTAGTTTTTTCTTTTTGGTTTTCCAGTTGCATTATGTATGTTGATTTATCTGGGAAGATGTCTTGATGATAGGCCTAAAAAATCTTGTGAGTTGTGAATCCCCAGTGATATTTCTTTTGAACTAGAGTGAATTGATAATTTCTAGTTTTGGGAGTGTTTCTTTAATTTTGGTTGTCTACTAAGTTGTACAGAAGACGAAATGGCTGAGAGCATATTATACCGTTAACCTGCATTTGTGTAAAATTGAAAAGCAATCCATAATTTAGATGTTGTAAAGATTTGCAGGTTGCTGGAAAAATTTGCGGAAGGCAGACTGCTGTAAAAATGCAAATTGCTAAATGATAAAAATGCAGATTTTGTAAATGGTAAAATGCATATTGCTAACATTTACAAGATTGCTAACAACTTTTTCATTACAATCAAGAGATCAACAGGATTGTTAACAAACTTTAATTTCAACAAGCATAACATGATGACATTACATCAGTTGTAACATGTAGATTGGTAACATTAGATCAAAATACTAACGACCACACCACACTACTAGAAGCTATACCAATCTACTAACGACTACACACTACTAGAACAGAGCTACACCAAACTACTAATGACTACACACTACTGAATAGTGCTACATCAAACTACTCATGACTACACGTTACAAACGATCCAAGAAAAGAAGTTCAAACATAACTACAGTACACTACATAAACTTGGTAGCTACAAAACCAACAATAATACACCAAGAGATCATAAGCAAGCTTATCAATTGAAGCCCTTTAATTCCCACTTCGGTTTAGTATCATCGAAGGTCTTCAAATTAGAACATTTAACATGATGCTCTAACTCCAAGTTTGAAACTTTATTCTCCAAATTTTAATGTTTTTTTTAAAAAAGTCATTTCGTTTAAGTTAGATCCAATGTTTGGTTTATGAATTTCAATGCCACCCATTTCTTTAAGGATCTTCTTCAGTCGGTTTCTTTCCTTCCTAATTGAATCTATTAGAATGAGAAAGATTTTGATAATTGAAAAATAGAGAAACAGATGAAAGAAATAGGTTGCATAACAAGTTCCTTTCATAACGAATCAAATTTGGATAAGGAGAACGTCAATCAAGCGAATTAGAAGTTAAAAAGTTGTGGAAGTATTACTTTTTTGACAAGCAACCAGTACATAAAGTTTCGTTTTATAAAGGAGTTCGCAGGCAAGATAATTTTCTTAATCAAATAGGAAAAACTAGAAAAACTAGGAAGCCGAAGTAAATAAGGAAATAAAGGGTGTATATAAAGAGTTCAAGAAGGAAATAAATCAAAGTGAAGTCAAGAAAGAAAACTGAAGACAAGAGGAAGAAAGCAACATTCTATATGTAACACCTTGAAAATCCAAGACACATTGTAAAGCCTAACATAGGTTTCATGAGGTCTAAGTACTGTTTCTAAGTCCATTATAAATGAATATAGGTCAATTAGGAGGTTTAAGAACCCAAAACGTCCATGATGTCCGAGAAGTTGGTTCAAAGGAATGTTAGTGTGCTTTAGCCTATTTGACTAATTTTTAGGGGTCGTTTGGTAGAGTGTATTAGGAAAAATAATACATGCATTAGGTGTGTGTATTAATAATACCTTGTTTGTTATATTTTTTTGGTTATGTATAACTAATGCAAGCATTAGTTATACACAACATTGTGTATTAAGTTGTATATTACTAATACCTAGAAAGTTGTGTATTACTAATACCAAGAAATTCTAGGTATTAGTAATACATAGCATTTTAACACTTGCATTAGATTATGTAATTACAAAAGTACCCTCAAAGCCCTTTTAAAAAAACATTTTCCAAAGTACTTGTTCCACAACACTTTTTGTATTTTTGCTACTTCAATTTGAACTAATAAAACTGCTTATAAATAGGCTTATTCTAAAATATTTAAATATAGTCCATAATCCACTAATTAACCTCATCGGCCAAAATTAGAAAGGGTTTATTTTAATCACTGATGCATATCTTGTTAAAGTAAAATTTATATTGTGAAATTATTTTAACATCAGTTTACATAAGTTATTCTGTTAATTTTTAAATATGAAGAATGTAAATACATTTCACTTTTTGATTAGTTTTTTTCTTGAAAAACTACCACTAAATTGGGTTTTAATAGAATGTTGCTGGTAAAGTTTAGTTTGGAAAATATGGTGGCAAACTTGTGAAATTGTTTGACATCTTCTTCTTCTTTTTCTTTTTTAGTCTTATTTCAATATATAAGAAGTTTTTAATTTTATATTTGAAAAAGAAGAAGAATAGGAATAAATAATGTTTTAGCAAAAAAATCGTTTTTGATGTTTTAGTAAAGAAACTTGTTGCAAAGGAAGTGTATAAAAAATAAAGTGTAAAGGGTATTTTTGTAAACACACACTTTTAAATAGAAATTATGCAAGATTTCTTTTTTCTAATACATCAAACCAAACAGTGTATAAGAAATAATTCAGACATAACTAATGCAAGCATTACTAATGCAAGTACTAGTAATGCAAGTATTACTAATACACCCTATTTTGCATTATTCTTATACACTCTACCAAACGACCCCTTAGGAGTCAGAAATGTACAAAAATTGGTGGAAAGGTAGCTAATAGGTGTTTAAATTGTTTCATGGTTGAAACGTCCGGGTATGACTCTCCAAGAACCAACCAAGGGCTCTTGAGGAGGACCCTTGTAGTTTTATGTAGCACTGCTTGGTAATGTGCATCAACGGGATAGAAGACGGCCCGTGTGTGGATCGACAAGGCGTCAATGCCACCGTCGTCCCACACTTAGGCTGGTGTAGAAGGCCCTTTCACCCGCACAGCCTCTGAATTCATCTACGAAGTGTAGAGGTGTAGGCTACCATCCGTGTGTGGATCGACGGGGCGTCGATGCCACCGTCGTCCCACACTTAGACAATTGGAGGAATCCCCTAGCCTGCACACTCTCTAACCAAAATGATAGAGTGCAGGACGGAGGGGGGGCTGTCCGTCGAATCACAGACGGCCCGTCAATCGGGGTTTCGTCTGTGAGGGTCGAGTTTTATGCCTAATTTAACTTGGTATTATTTAATCAATTAAGTGTTTACGGGTTGGGGATTAAAGGGAGACAAATTGAGTTGATTAAGTCAGAATATAAATACTCTCAACCCTCATTAATTTAAAGACAACTCTCAAATAAACTCACTTTCTTCTCTCTTATTTCTCAATCTACATGAACTCACTATTGAAGACTAGCAAGGACTTGGGGAACTGGAAAGGGAAGAATCCACCATCAAATTGTTGACAAACGTTAAGGTATGGGTTCTATTCACCTTTGAGACTCTTTCCTCAAAGGGTTCCTTGAAAATAGGTTTCAAAAGTTAAGTTTTCTTATGGATTTCATCCAATTACGAGATTGAAGTTATGAATTGAGTTTTTGATGATTTCTGTAGGTTATATTGAGTAGATTAACATTAATTGAACTTGTTTATGGTAATTGTTGATGGTTCCATCTAAATTGAAGAATATGATCCTCCATCCCTAACCCTAGGTAGTTATCTTGACTTGTATTATATTGTGATCATTTAATTGAGTTGGTTGTTGATTAGATTACAATCCTATGGTGTTATTATGATTAACTTAAGATGAATTATAGTCCTATCATGCTAGTTCTTGAGATGTGATTTAGGTTATGAATTATAATGTGAAATTAGCCTATGTATCTTGTCTCAAGTTGTAATCTGGAGTTGAATTGTGTTATAGAGATGCAATTGGCCTTGTTATCTTATTGGTTATCATTGTGTGATAATTTTACTCCCCAAATTGGGTTGAATTATGGGTTGATGGTACACATGAGGAAGACTTGGTAAGTCTTAGAATCTCTATCTTTACCTCTAATTGTGATTAATT